GTGTGCAGGAGCAGATGCCTATTCATGTGTTTATAATATATGTGGAAGCCAAAGGACACCCCCTGCTGGTGTGTGTGCGTGTGCGTGTGCGTGTGTGTGTGTGTGTGTGTGTGTGTGTGTGTGTGTGTGTGTGGTGTGCAGGAGCAGATGCCTATTCATGTGTTTATAATATATGTGGAAGCCAAAGGACACCCCCTGCTGGTATTCTTCAAGCACAACCACTTTTTGTTTTTGAGGCAGGGTCTCACTGCCCTGAAGCCTCCACAGGGAGTAGGAGGATGGCCAGTGAGCCCCAAACCTGCCTTCTCCTCTTCCCCAGCTCTGGGATTGCAAGTGCACACCCCGATTTTCATGTGGGTTCTGGGACTCAAACTCAGGTCCTTGTTCTTTCAAGACAAGCACACTGCCAGCTGAGTTATCTCCCCAGCCCCGCCCCTCTTGCTCATTTGCTTGTTTTTATTGTTTGCAGTAAGGTGTCGCCCCGACTGGCCTTGAACTCATTATTTTGCTGAAAATGACCTTGAACCTTCTCTAACCCTCCCCCTTCCACTTCCCATGTACTAGGATTATCCTGGCTGAATTTCCACCCTCCCCCTGTTTGCTGCACTCCGTGCTGTTCCTGCTCAGTACCTCCACACCTTCTGTTTTTCCCTACTCCAAACTGGAATTCTGTTGTACCTCTGGGCCATCATTTTTCCAAATCTGCGCTTGGGAGGCGTGACTTATTTAACATGTACATACCAGAATTCCCAAGAGGATCAGGTTTGGCGGGCATAGACATCTGCTTCCCTAACAAGCTTCTAGGTTGGAGGTGTTTGGGGCTGAGAAATAGTGACAGAGGACTGGAGTCTGTAGCTTGGTTGCTTACCTGCCACACACGAAGTCCCGGGTTCAATCCCCAGCATGGCATACACTGGCCATGATGGTGCATGTCTGTAGTCATAGCACTTCAAGAAGATGAGGCAGGGGAATTGAGAGTTTCAGGCCAGCCTGGATTACACCGACTGTGTTATAGAAAAAAAAGGGGGGGGGGGTAATAAGGCAAGAGGATCACCTTGAGTTCAAGGCTGGTCTGCCTGGGCTACATAGTGAGTTCCAGGACAGCTAGGCTAAAGTGAGACCCTATCTCAAAAGATCAAGAGGGCAGGTAGGGAGAGAGATCCAGATGAAACCTGGCATGAACAAGCCCTATAGAGTCTTATGGGACTTGTGAATACAAATAGTAAGGTCTATAGGGTAAGGGCATTAAAATCTTCAAGTCCCTGAACCTTCTGGAGGGAAAACTAGACACCAAGAGATCTAGGATAAGATGCCTTAAGCTGACAGCTGAGGGCCAAAAGGAAGTGTTGGCTCCCGTATCCCTCAGCCTCCCACCCTTTCACCTCTCCCTGGGGTGTGAGTATACACAAGCACAGTGTGCATGTGGAGGCCAGAGGACAACCTTGGGTGTGGTGTTCAGATGTCTTCTACCTCTTATTTAAGACAGAGGCTCTTGGGCCTGGTGAGATGGCTCAGTGGGTAACCGTGGCTGCTTCCAATTTGCCTCCTGAATTTGATCCCTGGGATTTACATAGTAGGAGAGAACTAACTCCTACAGGTTAGCCTCTGACCTACACACACACACACACACACACACACACACACACACACACACACACACACACACCCATAAGCCCATACAGAGTCTCACTGGCCTGAAACTTTACAGGGGTCCAGGGATCCACTTGTCTTCACCTTCTAGGGTTAAAGTTAGGGTTAGGGCTCTTGCTGGGATAACAGGCATGCGCCACCACATCTGACTTCTTACAGGGGTTCTGGGGGTCTGGGCTTGTAAGGCAGGCACTGAGCCCACTCCCAGCACCATTTCTGTTTCCTTTCTGCACTCAGAATCCTCCACCTTGCTGGCCATCCTGCCAGGCGTGTTTGCGATGGTGTTGGCCCCTTTCTTACTGCCCAGGATGTATGTTTACATGACCACGAGAACTGCCACAGCGAGGAGTGGGTGAGTCCCCGTGCAGGGAGTGAGGGGGCCGTCGGTGGGGGGGGCCTATCGCACACAAAAGCCGCGCTCCTCATCTGTTCCCCACTACCTCTAGGGAGAAGTGTTGAGACGAAATAGACACAGGCTGGAGGACACAGGTGAGAATCAGCCCTGGGGGCGTGCAGTTCCTGGCCAAGAGGTGAGTCCTTCTCCAACGTGGGTTTCCTTGCTCTTCCCTCAGATGTTCCAGAGCCTGCCTTCAAAACCACCGAGTTCTGACTTATCCTCAAACAAACAGATAAAAATAATTTATTTTTTTAAATACTTTTTTTTTAAACATTTGTTGTTGTGTGTTATGTGTGTGCGAATGTGGGTGGGTGTGCGCACACCTGCCAATTGCATGTCTTGAAGTCAAGAGAAATTTGTGGAAGTCATCTCTCTCCTTTTGCTTTGTGGGACATGGGCATGGAACTCAGGTCATCAGGCTTCACAGCAGACACCTTCTCCGCTGAGCTACCTTGCTAGTCCCGCGCTCAATGCTTTTAGATAGGGATTTCCCTTGATTGTGGTGGAGGCAGTTAGTCAGGGAGACAGACACGTGTGGATCCCTGAAGGCTGGGTGCTGTGCAGGGGGAGGGAATGTCCACATGGAGAGAGCCTTAGGTCTCAGGAAGGAGAGTGTCACTCACTGAAAGCCAGTCAGCAGGCCCGTTCAGTCCTGGTAAGTTCCAGCAGTGGAAGATAGAAGGGGCAGGGAGGAAACTTCCAGAAGGAAGAATGAACTCTATAGCCCCAGACCCCCGCTGCAAGACAGGAGAAAAGACTTCCTGTGCACATGCTTTATTTTTTTTTTTCTAGGACAAGTTGTTGTGTGACCAAGGATGACTTTGAACTCCTGATCCTCCCGCCTCTACCTGTTGAGATCACAGGCATGTCACCACACCTAGTTTATGCTGGGGCTGGAGCTGGGGTTTTGTAAATGCTAGGCAAGCACTTGGCCGTCTGAGCCATTCTCCAGTGCCAATCATGTATTTTCTTTACCCCAGAAACTCCCATTTTAAAAAAACGTGTGTGTGTGTGTGTGTGTGTGTGTGTGTGTGTGTGTGTGTGTTGTGTGTGTGTGTGTGCGCGCGCGCGCATGTGCCCATGTGTGTACAGGTGCTGCTGTGCCACCGTTACTGCGAAGACATGAGTGGACATCTGCTCACCCCAGATAGGGAACCAATGGTGGACCAAAGTGGCGACACCACTGAAGTCCAGCTTGGTGAACTGATGGGTTTATTGGGGTTACTTCCGGGGGTGTGGGAGAGTTCACTTCCAGCGGCAGAAGTGACTCCAAGGGAGCGGTGATGGCTCATGAGAACTGGAGACCTGGTGCTCCCGGCACAACTTGGAGGCAGCTCGACAGACTGGAGGGTTTCTCTTCTCAGCTTGTCTGGGAGTGGTCTTAGCAGTCCTTGCCGCTGAGGTAGGCTTGGGAAGGAGAGGCCTAGTGCTTTGGTGGACGTCCTGAATTGTTGACTTCCATAGCTCCAGGAGCTCCCCTTTAGAACAGTCAGGACTTGGTTTTATTGATTTTATGCGCGCGTGTGTGTGTGTGTGTGTGTGTGTGTGTGTGTGTGTGTGTGTGTGTGTGTAAGAATGTCTGCCCTGTGTGCAGATGCTCATAAAAGCCAGAAGAGAACACTGAGCTCCTTGGAACTGGAGTCACAGGCCACTGTAAGCCAGCTGATGTGGGTGCTGGGAACCAAACTCAGGTCCTGTGGGAGAGCAGCAGGTGCTCTTAAGCATGGAGCCATCTCTTCCGCCCAACATCCTGAGCCCTAACAAGGTCCCCTCCAAAACAGGGTGTACCAACTAGGAGGAGGCTCTTGTACAGCCGGTGCACACTCCCTGCGTGCACTGGTGATGTAGTGGGCAGAGGACAACCTCAGGCCCCTTCCACCTTTTGACTGAGACTTTGACAAGTAGCTAGGCTAGCTGGCCAGCCAGCTTCCATGTATCCACCTCTCCCTCCCTCCCACATCTCCACCACTGTTTTACAGTGGACACCACCACATCCCGCCACGAGGCTGAACCTCAGGAAGTCACTTGTGCAACAAGCACTTTACCAACTGAGCCTTCGCTCCAGCACACCCAGGGGTTTTATTGTTACTAATGCACACACACACACACACACACACACACACACACAAACACACACACGGGTCAGAAGACATCTAGAGGGAGTCAGTTCTCTCTTTACCATCAGGTTTGGCAGCAAGCATCTTTCCTGGCTGAGCCCACACCCCGAGTTATTTTTAAGGTGGTTTCAAACTTGCTACATAACCCTACTGGCCTTGCACTCACTGAGCTCAGTCTTCCTACTTCAGTCCTGAGTCTGGGGACTCCAGGGGTCTGAGAGCCAAGGCTCATCAGGACTCTTAGTTCCTCCACTAGGGGGAAGCAAGGCTATTCTGGGTTTTGTTTCTAATTGGCCTTCTCCCAGAGGGTGTCGGCCCCTCTTCATTCCTCCATTTCTCCAAAGAGCCCGGCACTTGGTTACTATGGAAACTGTGAGTGGAGTCACAGGCTTTGGGAGCCATTCTGACAACCCAGGTAGAAATGACCACCTAGCCCAGCAGAGGAGGCCAAGGTGTGTATTTTGTACCCTGGGAGTCTGTGTCTCCTTCTAGGTTACTCCTTGCTTGCTTGGGTGAAATCTAGGCTCTAATGAGGAGCAGACAACCAGGTGATGGACTAGAGACTGTTAGACCTCAAGAAACAGGGGGACTTAACCTGAGAGCATTGAGGCAGGTTGGCAAGTGCCTTGGGGAGATATTAATCTGTCTTGTGAGACAACCAGACCTTTGGAGACCTTTCCTGAAGCCAGCAAAAGCCAATATTAAAGTATTGAAAGGGCTGGGAGAGGAGGAGGGCCCTGCGTGGTTGTGTGAACCCCTACCCAGGAAGGCACAGTGCACCTCTGCAGGGCAGCCTCCGGCCTTGAGCCCAGTTTCTGCACCTGGCCTCCACCGTTGTAGTGCTCTGATCCTTTGGCCTTCGCCTCCATTCTTCCCCACGGCAGCTCTGAAGGTCGCTATCTAGCCAGGATGTCTGTTTGGCTGGAAAAGCTGCTGGCTGGACCAGTGCCCCTGGGACACTCCCCTTCCTTGTAGTATTGAGCCCTTCCCACCCTCCAGGGATATTAAATGTCACCCAGGGAGAGGGGACAAAGGAGTTAGTGTGATTCTGTGCCTATAACCCCAGCACCCCAGAGGCTGAGGCAGGAGGATAGTGAGTTCCAAGCTGGCCTGGACTATACCACAAGCCCTGATTTACAAAATATGGGGGAGGGCTGGTTCACTCAGTAGGCGAGCACTAGGATCAGGAGTCTGTCTGCAGTGGAGGAGGGGCCCAGCAACAGCAGTGGTGGTATGGGCTTACGATTCCAGAGCTGTGGGGGGAGAGACTGAGTTCCTAACCCTGCTGTCCAGCCAGCCTAGTCCACCTGGCCAGTGAGAGACCCTGTCTGTCTTTCTCTGTCCCTGTCACACACACACACACACACACACACACACACACACACGGACTAGAGATGCGGCTCAGTGGTTAAGAGCACTTGCTGCTCTTACAAACGACCAGAATTCAGTTCCTAACACCCACGTCAGCTCACAACAGCCTGAAACTCCAGCTCCAGACCTGGCATACTCTTCTGGCCTCTGTGGGAACCTTCATTCAACATGGACATAACCCCCCACACACAAATGAACACACACACACACACACACACACACACACACACACACACACAC